ATGTCAGCCTCATGCTTCCCTCCCTCCACAGCAAGCTGGAGGAACAGCACAGGAGGTAGAGGAACATGGCGGAGGGCTGCTAACGTTTATTAATGAGATGGAGTCTTCCCTAATTGGATTTGGACTCCAACATGGACAGCCATGTGCACTGCAGAGTTTTGGAGGGAAATCCTCCTGTGTGCGCACAGAGCTCTGCAGGGAAGATGGCTGCTGTGCCTGCAGGACTGCACTCTGCTGGGGACTGTGGACTCTGATACCAGGAAACTAGAGATGAGCGAAGTATTCAAAAATTCGATTCGGGGCTGATTCGCGAATTCGAGGAATAAATTCGATTCGAGGCGAATATATTCGCTGCGAATTTAACTTATAAAAGGGTGTTTCTAGGCTTCAGAGAGCCTTTATATTAGTGCAGAACACTGTACCTTTAATTTAAATGCCCTTGGAGTCTGCTGGGGAAGAGAAATAATACTGTCAGTCAGTATGACATGCAGATGAGTGCCGTCGATCTTAGAATCACCGCACACTTCACTCATTTGGGCAGTCACGGGGCCAAAACCAGAGTGTGGAGCCACAGTGTGGCGGTGGAGGCAGCAGCAATGGGAGGCCATACAGCAACCTATGACAAAATGGAACCCACCAGCAGTGTGAGGAGACCTGAAAGTGGCACATGGCAGAGTGTGGCGATGGAGACAGCAGCAATGGGAGGCCGTACAGGGACCCATGACACACTCTGGACCTGGCAGCAGCATGAGGAGGCGGTACAGGGGCCCATGGCAGATTACGGGCCTGGCAGCAGCAATGAGGAGGCCCGTAATACGGGGGGCCCATGACAGATTACGGGCCTGGCAGCAGCATGAGGAGTCGGTACGGGGGCCCATGGCAGATTACGGGCCTGGCAGCAGCAATGGGAGGCCCGTAATCTGCCAGCACCCTATGACAAAATGGAACCCACCAGCAGTGTGAGGAGACCTGAAAGTGGCACATGGCAGAGTGTGGGACAGCAGCAATGGGAGGCCGTACAGGGACCCATGACACACTCTGGACCTGGCAGCAGCAAGAGGAGGCGGTACAGGGGCCCATGGCAGAGTGGCGAAGCGTAAGCAGCTTAAATTGAAGGCCATACAGAGGCCTATGTTAAAAATAATAACATGTTTTGGGGCATGATTCATGGCGGATTTAGTCAGTTGTGTCAGGAACTGGTGGTTTGAAATCCAGACTAATCCACGCCTGATTCATTTTCACAAACGTGAGTCTCTCCACACTTTGGGTGGACAGTCGTGTCCTCCGCGGAGTTACAATACCTCCTGCCGCACTAAACACGCGCTCCGATGCCACGCTACTGGCCGGGCATGACAGCCTTTCAAGGGCAAATTCAGCTAGTTGGGGCCAAAGGTCAAGTTTCGTTGCCCAGTAGTCAAGGGGATTGTCTACCTCGGTTGGCAGGGTGCTGTCCAAGTAGGCCCAAGCCTGTTGTTTGAGGTCCTGCTCCAGGTCCACCTGATGCTGCTGCTGCTGCGGCTGGTTAGTAGTTTCCTCACTGCGCTGGTGAAGAAAGCTACTCATCATCGACTGCAGACTGAGGCAGCCGCTGCTGGTGGAGCTGCCACTGCTCCTACCACCCCACCCCTCCCCTGCTGCCATGGCAGCGGAACGCGAGCGCACAGGGCCCACAGTGTCTGAGGATGGACGTTGGCGCAGAAAGGCAGAGACCAACTGACTACATAGGTGGTTTTTATAGTACGTTATTTTGGCCTCCCTCTCAGCAGGTGTGAAAAAGGCCACCATTTTTGAACGGTAGCGAGGGTCCAACAAGGTGGGACAGCCAAAAGTCATCCCTCTGTCTGATGGTTATTATTCGGCTGTCGCTACGCAAGCAACCGAGCATGCTATGGGCCATTTGTGCCAAGGAATGCGAGGGACTCCCTGCCTCCATCTCCACAGCATACTGCCACGGTGCGTCTGGGTCCTCTGTCTCCTCCTCCTCCTCCTCTACCAGATGCTCCTGCTCCTCCACTCCTGTCCGCTGAGTGGAAAAACCACCCATTTCACTCAATAATTCCTGAGCACCAATGTCCTCCTCTACCTCCTCCTCTTCTTCCTGTCCTGCCCCCACAGGGGTCATGTGGCGTTGAGATCTGTGCGCCACGTCTACCGCACCCTGACCAGCCATTGTTAACAGCATTTGTTCCAGGACGTGCAACAGAGGAATGACGTCGTCGTTCATCCCATAGTCCTGCCGACTCACGAATAGCGTGGCCTCCTCAAAGGGCCTGAGCAAGCGGCAGGTGTCACGCATGAGCTGCCAATGGCTGACATCTAAGTTACACAGGGGAGTACCTTTATCCGCTTGTAACATCAGGAAATCGGTGATGGCCTTTCGCTGTTCGTAAAGGCGGTCTAACATATGTAGGGTTGAATTCCACCTTGTTGCAACGTCACAGCATGAGGAGTCGGTACGGGGGCCCATGGCAGATTACTGCCGCCTGCAGCAGCAATGGGAGGCCCGTAATCTGCCAGCACCCTGTAGGAAAATGCATGGCAAAGTTTACCAGACATTGTGAGGATGACTTGAAAGTGGGATGGCAGGATTTTGGAACCGCTTGACAACAGATTGAATGGTGAGCCGTGCATGGGCATGGCACAGATTCGGGCCCTGACGCAGAGCAATGGGACACCATGTTCTTTCCAGCACCCTATGTCAAAATGGAACCGATTTTCAGTTTGCGCGGAGGAGACCTGAAAGTGGCACATGCAGAGTGTGGCCTGGAGACAGCCAATGTGGACGTACGGGACCCATGCAGATTAGGGGCCTGGCAGCAGCAGCAGCGGACACCGTAATGCGCCCTGCACATGCACCCTACGGGCTGCGGGAATTTAACTTATAAAAGGGTGTTTCTAGGCTTGGCAGAGATGGGAGGGGTATAGAGGCGGACATCTTTGCAGACCAACACTGTACCTTTAAGGAAATAAAGCCCTTGGAGCGTGCTGGGGAAGAGCAATATTCAGCAGTGTCGATGGCAGCGTAAGCATGGGTCACAGTGCATGACCATGCAGATGAGTTACGGATCATTAGGCTTGCCAGCACTTCACTCATTTGGGCAGTAGGGGCCCATGGCGGAGCCACAGTGTGGCCTGGCAGGCAGCAGCAATGGGAGGCCCGTAATCATGCCAGCACCCTATGACAAAAATGTCCCGAACCCACCAGCAGTGTGAGGGGACCTGAAAGTGGCACATGGCAGAGTGTGGCGATGGAACCAGACATGGGCCCCCTGGCCACGCTTGACTTTCTGGCCACATAGTCGACATCGGGCTACGTTTACTCCTCGGGCGGCTTTGACGAAAAATTGCCACACCGCCGAGTAGGAAACTTTGCCCTGGCCGAACTCCTCACTGGTCTGACTACTACTTCCTCCGTGCACACCGGGCACCACTACTGGCCGTGGTGGTAGGCTGCCGTGGAGCTGGTGCTCTACTCCGTGGCCGTTTGGCTCCACTGACACTGCTGCGACCCTGCTGTTCTCCTGGGCAACCCACCGACTGTTTTGCTCGCTGCCAAGCTGCACCCTCTTCTCCTGATGATGCGGAAGCAATAGTACGGCCTGATGACGACGAGGCTGCCAAGTGCGATCAGCCTCATCATCATCAATTAGGGTCCGCCTCACTACTAGCCCCCTCGGCTGCGTGTGGGTCAGGAGACAGACCTGTCTCTAGACCGGCTACCGAGCCACTCTCCTCGCCAGTACTTCTTCGCCTGGCTGCTGAAGAGGCGGATGTCTCCCCCCGTTCCTGACCGCCCTCTGTTAGCTCTTCCTCACTGTACAGTGGGGCTGAGCCCACAGCATGCGATACTTCGCTTGGTGAGGGAACACCAAAGGACAGGGGCAGGTAGAGGACACGTGATTTCAGTGGGCTTGCTCCCGGGCCATGCCAACTAACGGTTGTGTCTGACGTACCCACCGACCGTTGGCTGTAGGTGTCAGAGGTGACCTGGGAAGAGGAAGACGACCGAGCCAACCAATCGATGACGGCAGGGTTGTCGGTGGAGACACGACCGCTGGATGACACCGGGAGCACTGGCCTCTGGCTGCGACTAGTGCTGCCTCGACCCCTTCCTCTGCTGCCACGTCTGCTCGCTCCTAAAACATTGCCTCCTCTGCCACTCCTCTGCATGTTGTCTGACATACTCTTTATTTCAACGATTCTGTGTCCCTGAGTAACAATTCTGTGTCCCTGAGTAACAATTCTCTGTCTGTCCCTGAGTAACAATTCTGTGTCCCCCTCTGAGTAACAATTCTGTGTCCCTCAGTAACAATTCTGTGTCCCTGAGTAACAATTCTGTGTCCCTCAGTAACAATTCTGTGTCCCTGAGTAACAGTTCTGTGTCCCTGAGTAACAATTCTGTGTCCCTGAGTAACAATTCTGTGTCCCTGAGTAACAATTCTGTGTCCCTCAGTAACAATTCTGTGTCTGTCCCTGAGTAACAATTCTGTGTCCCTCAGTAAGCTAACAATTCTGTGTCCCTCAGTAACAATTCTGTGTCTGTCCCTGAGTAACAATTCTGTGTCCCTGAGTAACAATTCTGTGTCCCTGAGTAACAATTCTGTGTCCCTCTGGAGTAACAATTCTGTGTCCCTCAGTAACAATTCTGTGTCCCCCTGAGTAACAATTCTGTGTCCCTGTAACATTCCTGAGTAACAATTCTGTGTCCCTCAGTAACAATTCTGTGTCCCTCAGTAACAATTCTGTGTCTGTCCCTGAGTAACAATTCTGTGTCCCTGAGTAACAATTCTGTGTCCCTGAGTAACAATTCTGTGTCCCTGAGTAACAATTCTGTGTCCCTGAGTAACAATTCTGTGTCCCTGAGTAACACATTCTGTGTCCCTCAGTAACAATTCTGTGTCCCTCAGTAACAATTCTGTGTCTGTCCCTGAGTAACAATTCTGTGTCCCTCAGTAACAATTCTGTGTCCCTCAGTAACAATTCTGTGTGTCCCTGAGTAACAATTCTGTGTCCCTCGAGTAACAATTCTGTGTCCCTCAGTAACAATTCTGTGTCTGTCCCTGAGTAACAATTCTGTGTCCCTGAGTAACAATTCTGTGTCCCTGTCCCTGAGTAACAATTCTGTGTCCCTGAGTAACAATTCTGTGTCCCTGAGTAACAATTCTGTGTCCCTCAGTAACAATTCTGTGTCCCTCAGTAACAATTCTGTGTCCCTGAGTAGTAACAATTCTGTGTCCCTGAGTAACAATTCTGTGTCCCTCAGTAACAATTCTGTGTCCTGAGAAGTAACAATTCTGTGTCCCTGAGTAACAATTCTGTGTCCCTGAGTAACAATTCTGTGTCCCTGAGTAACAATTCTGTGTCCCTCAGTAACAATTCTGTGTCCCTCAGTAACAATTCTGTGTCCCTCAGTAACAATTCTGTGTCCCTGAGTAACAATTCTGTGTCCCTGAGTAACAATTCTGTGTCCCTGAGTAACATTCTGTGTCCCTGAGTAACAATTCTGTGTCCCTGAGTAACAATTCTGTGTCCCTGAGTAACAATTCTGTGTCCCTCAGTAACAATTCTGTGTCCCTCAGTAACAATTCTGTGTCTGTCCTGAGTAACAATTCTGTGTCCCTGAGTAACATTCTGTGTCCCTGAGTAACAGTTCTGTGTCCCTGAGTAACAATTCTGTGTCCCTGAGTAACGATTCTGTGTCCCTGAGTAACAGTTCTGTGTCCCTGAGTAACAATTCTGTGTCCCTGAGTAACAATTCTGTGTCCCTGAGTAACAAGGGTCAGCACGGCCTTGTCTGCGCGCCTTCCCAGAGATCCCCGCTCCGTCGCCACACATGTCGCCGACATTTTTGGAAAATTTCGATTCGCGCATCCGAAATCTGCTAATTTTCGGATTCGGCGCGAATCGAATTTTTCCTAATCTTCGAAACGAATTCCACTTCGCCTACTGTCGATTTGCTCATCTCTACCAGGAACCCTGTGACTGTGACTGTGGACTCTGATACCAGGGACCCTGTGACTGGACTCTGATACCTGGAACCCTGTGACTGTGGACTCTGATACCTGGAACCTGTGACTGTGGACTCTGATACCAGGAAACCCTGTGACTGTGGACTCTGATACCAGGAACCCTGTGACTGTGGACTCTGATACCTGGAACCCTGTGACTGTGGACTCTGATACCAGGAACCCTGTGACTGTGGACTCTGATACCTGGAACCTGTGACTGTGGACTGTGAACTGTCCAATACCAAGAACCCTGTGACTGTGGACTCCAATACCAAGAAACCCTGTGACTGTGGACTCCAATACCAGGAACCCTGTGACTGTGGACTCTGATACCAGGAAACCCTGTGACTGTGGACTCCGATACCAGGAACCCTGTGACTGTGGACTCCGATACCAGGAACCCTGTGACTGTGGACTCTGATACCTGGAACCCTATGACTGTGGACTCTGATACCAGCAACCCTGTGACTGTGGACTCTGCTGGGGGAAGGTAAGGGGGGATCTGACACACTTGCTGGACAATCCCTGCTGATGGCTGCAAATGCAGCAGAAAATGGTGGAGGGAAGATGTCAGCTGCACTCTGAAAGGTGTTGCTGAAACCCAGGGGAGAGTGTGACCAGGAGTGGAAGGCTTTTGCCTAAGAGGAGTATGTTGGGGGAGGGGGAACAGGAGCATCTGGTGTGAGTGGGTCTGCTGGGAGCATCTAGTGCCACGAGTGAAAGGAAACATATGGAATGATAAGAGTGCTTGCAATGCTGGAAAGGGGAATGCCTGTGTGTTGGTGGATGGAGTGACTGCTGCTGCCTCTGATGGGGGTTTGCAGAGCGGGGGCTCTGAGGTTCCTGCAACCAATGGGCAGGTGCAGCTTTAGGGTCTGAGGTTCCTGCAACCAATGGGCGTGGGTGCAGCTTTAGGGTCTGAGGTTCCTGCAACCAATGGGCAGGGTGCAGCTTTAGGGTCTGAGGGCAACCATGGGCGGGGTGCAGCTTTAGGGTCTGAGGTTCCTGCAACCAATGGGCGGGGTGCAGCTTAAAACATACAAACTAAATGCTGCAAATAAGACCTATGCTGGGGCTCTGGCTGGGAGGAGGGGGTCACATCATGTCAGCTCTGGGGGGAGGGTCTGTTGCAGGTCTGCCATCTGCACCCCTGTCCTTCAGGAGGAGGAATTTGGTGCACCTCAGGAGGGAAGGTGGGGGTGCTCCCCCAGTCAGGTGGGAAGGTGGGGGTGCTCCCCCTGGTCAGGTGGGAAGGTGGGGGTGCTCCCTGGTCAGGGTGGATGCAGGTGGGGGTGCTCCCCCGGTCAGGATGTCGGTGGGTGGACAGGATTTTGGAGATGGGGTTTAGGGCGGATGACATCTTCGCCTTGATCAGCCCTGTAGGATCCTATGAATATGACCTGTCCTTTGTGCGCCCCGAGTCTTGGATATATTCTGGGAGAAGTATGAACACGTGTATGGGGGTCTGCCGGAGTGGAAGGGGGGAAACTCGTCCCAAAGGTGGTCTCACGCCAACCTCTAGTGAAGACGGTCACCCATTCTAGTATGGACTGGTGGGTGGTCGGTGCAGATGAGGTTGTATGTGTGTGGGAATGTGGTCCAGCATCTGCCCTCCTCAGCCTTCATTGGGAAGGATAGAGTGTTGTGTTCTACCCCTGGACAGCCCAAAGCTCTGCAATAAGTGCGGTTCTCGGGGTCACTTGGGGTCAGAGATGAAGTTGGCCTCTGGTTATCTCATGTCCAGGAGATGAAGTGCTCTCTGTGTCAGGATCTGGGGCATCTGGTTCTCGGGGTCACTTGGCCTCCTCAATGTCCAGAGATGAAGTTGCTCTCTGTGTCAGGATCTGGGGCATCTGGTTCTCGGGGTCACTGGCCCCCTCATGTTCAGAGATGAAGTGCTCTCTATGTCAGGATCTTGGGGCACCTGGTTCTCGGGGTCACTTGGCCTCATCGTGTCCAGAGATGAAGTGCTCTCTGTGTCAGGATCTGGGGCATCTGGTTCTTGGGGTCACTCGCCTCCTCATGTCCAGAGATGAAGTGCTCTCTGTGTCAGGATCTGGTTCAATCTGGGTCACTTGGCCCCCTCATGTTCAGAGATGAAGTGCTCTCTGTGTCAGGATCTGGGGCATTCTGGTTCTCGGAAGGGGTCACTTGGCCCCCTCATGTCCAGAGATGAAGTGCTCTCTGTGTCAGGATCTGGGGCATCTGGTTCTCGGGGTCACTTGGCCTCCAGAGATGAATGTTCCCTGAGAATCTGGAGCAAGATTCTGGTTCTGAAGTCACTTGGCCACCTCGTGTTCAGAGATGATACTGCTGTGTCAGGATCATGGGGCATCTGGTTCTCGGGGGTCACTTGGCCATCCCTCAGTGTCCAGAGATGAAGTGCTCACTCTGTGTCAGGATCTGGGCATCTGGTTCTCGGGGTCATCTCTTGGGGCCCCCTCATTGTCCAGAGATGAAGTGCTCTCTGTGTCAGGATCTTGGGCATCTGGTTCTCGGGGTCACTTGGGCCCCCATATGTCCAGAAATGAAGTGCTCTCTGTGTCAGGATCTGGGGCATCTGGTTCTCGGGGTCACTTGGCCCCCTCATGTCCAGAGATGAAGTGCTCTCTCTGTGTCAGGATCTGGGGCATCTGGTTCTCGGGGTCACTTGGCCTCATGTCCAGAGATGAAGTGCTCTCTGTGTCAGGATCTGGGGCATCTGGTTCTCGGGGTCACTTGGCCCCCTCGTGTCAGAGATGAAGTGCTCTCTGTGTCAGGATCTGGGGCATCTGGTTCTCGGGGTCACTTGGCCCCCTCATGTCCAGAGATGAAGTGCTCTCTGTGTCAGGATCTTGGGCATCTGGTTCTCGGGGTCACTTGGCCCCCTCATGTCCAGAGATGAAGTGCTCTCTGTGTCAGGATCTTGGGCATCTGGTTCTCGGGGTCACTTGGCCTCCTCGTGTCCAGAGATGAAGTGCTCTCTGTGTCAGGATCTGGGGGCATCAGGTTCTCGGGGTCACTTGGCTTCTCGTGTCCAGAGGATGAAGTGCTCTCTGTGTCAGGATCTGGGGCATCTGGTTCTCGGGGTCACTTGGCCCTCCTCGTGTCCAGAGATGAAGTGCTCTCTATGTCAGGATCTGGGCATCTGGTTCTCGGGGGTCACTTGGCCCCCCTCGTGTCCAGAGATGAAGTGCTTTCTGTGTCAGGATCTGGGGCATCAGGTTCTCGGGGTCACTTGGCCTTCTTGTGTCCAGAGATGAAGTGCTCTCTGTGTCAGGATCTGGGGCATCTGGTTCTCTGGGGGGTCACTTTCCCTCCTCATGTCCAGAGATGAAGTGCTCTCTATGTCAGGATCTGGGGCATCTCTGGTTCTCGGGGTCACTTGGCCCCTCATGTCCAGAGATGAAGTGCTTCTCTATGTCAGGATCTGGGGCATCTGGTTCTCGGGGTCACTTGGCCTCCTCATGTCCAGAGATGTAAGTGCTCTCTGTGTCAGGATCTGGGGCATCTGGTTCTCGGGGTCACTTCGCCTCCTCATGTCCAGAGATGAAGTGCTCTCTATGTCAGGATCTGGGGCACCTGGTTCTCGGGGTCACTTGGCCTCCTCATGTCCAGAGATGAAGTGCTCTCTATGTCAGGATCTGGGGGCATCTGGTTCTCGGGGTCACTTGGCCTCCTCTCATGTCCAGAGATGAAGTGCTCTCTGTGTCAGGATCTGGGGCACATCTGGTTCTCGGGGTCACTTGGCCTCCTCATGTCCAGAGGATGAAGTGCTCTCTATGTCAGGATCTGGGGGCATCTGGTTCTCGGGGTCACTTGGCCTCACCTCATGCCCAGAGATGAAGTGCTCTCTATGTCAGGATCTGGGGCACCTGGTTCTCGGGGTCACTTGGCCTCCTCATGTCCCAGAGATGAAGTGCTCTCTATGTCAGGATCTGGGGCACCTGGTTTCGGGGTCACTTGGCCTCCTCATGTCCAGAGATGAAGTGCTCTCTATGTCAGGATCTGGGACACCTGGTTCTCGGGGTCACTTGGGGCCTCCTCCTCATGTCCAGAGATGAAGTGCTCCTCTATGTCAGGATCTGGGGCACATGGTTTCTCGGGGTCACTTGGCCTCCTCATGTCCCAGAGATGATGAAGTGCTCTCTATGTCAGGATCTGGGGCACCTGGTTCTCGGGGTTACTTGGCCTCCTCATGTCCAGAGATGAAGTGCTCTCTATGTCAGGATCTGGGGCATCTTGTTCTCAAGGGGTCACTTCTCCTCCTCATGTCCAGGAGATGAAGTGCTCTCTGTGTCAGGATCTGGGGCATCTTGTTCTCGGGGTCACTTGGCCTCCTCATGCCCAGAGATGAAGTGCTCTCTATGTCAGGATCTGGGGACATCTGGTTCTCGGGGTCACTTGGCCTCCTCATGCCCAGAGATGATGGAAGTGCTCTCTATGTCAGGATCTGGGGCACCTGGTTCTCGAGGTCACTTGGCCCTCCTCATGTCCAGAGATGAAGTGCTCTCTAT